CCTTCTTAAATTGTGGTACCCAGAACTGAACACAGGATTCTAGGTGTGGTCTGACCAAGGCAGAATAGAGATGGACCATGACCTCCCTTGATCTGGACACTAGACATTTGTTGATGCAGCCTAGAATAGCATTTGCTTTTTTTGCTGCTGCATCGCACAGTGGACTCGTGTCCAGCTTGTGCTCCATCAAGACCCCTAGATGCTTTTCAGATGTGCTGCTCGTAAGCCAGGTGTCCCACATCCTATATTTGTGCAGCTGCTTCTTCCTGCCTTAAGTGCAGAACCTGACATTTGTCCTATACTCTCCATGAGCTTTCCATGCTCCAGATCATGGATTTCTTCACAGGTGTACCTACACATCCTTTGCAGAGAACGCTCCTCCTCCTGCTGCTGCCTTCCTGCTCGGTGTCTTCCCTTTGAAGTGGTTATACCTGTCGACTTGGAGCAAAGGGCCAAAGAAAGCGTTGTCCCCCCTTCCTGGCCAAATGCTCAGGAACAATGGGGTAGAAAGGGAGAAAGAAGAGCCCTACAGTCCAGCCATGGGTCTCTCATCTCACCAGGTTTCAATGTGTCTTGTGTGGGGGGCCAGGGAGTTGCAGGTTTCTTCTGGTTCCAATTGCGTATTTTGTGCTTTTGTGTTTATTTCGCCTTTTATGCTGTGAACACCTCTTCATCTTCAGATACAAAGGATGACAGTGAACCTGCCTGGGAGGTTATATTGTGCCTCTGCTATCAGGAGCTCCTATTCGTCTTGCTTTATCCTGCTGCTCTTTCAGGGACCTTCAGGGGCAAACAAATAAAGTTAATTCACAATAGGGACCATTGCGAGGAGCTGGAGGCTTTCCTAGACCTTTTACACATTTTACTCCCATTACTGTTTCCTGCGCCTTTCAGGGCTGTTCCTTCCCCCACCTCCCCGCGTTTTTCCAGCTCCAGCTATTTTCCTGTCAGAGAAAAAGGCGCCCCCCCCCCCAAAGGAAGGGAAAAGGCGGGCTTCGAGCGGTAGAGTGGCAGCGAGGCTTCGCGCAGGCGCAGTGAGGAGCCCCCCCCCGCGCCGGCCTTAAGCGGGCTTCCACCACGGAGAGGCTCCAGAGTCCTAGAGCGGCGCTCCCTCCCATCCGCTAAGAGAGCCCCGAGGACTAGAGCGGAGACGTCCTTTATCCGCCAGCCGACCGAGAGCGCCCGCTTCCCGCTTCCGCCGGAAGTCAAGGTTGGGGAAGTTGTTCGAGGCGGCACCGGAGGGCTCGGTCACGGGACGGAGCGGCGGCGGCGGCGATGGTGGGCGGCTCCCCCCCCCCGCGGGTGAGGGAGGGGAGGGCGACCCCCCCGCTGACCCCCCTGACTCTCTCTCTCTCCCTCCCTCAGGCGGCGACGGCGGCGCTGACTCAGGGGCTGGAGCGGGTCCCCGACCAGACCGGCTACCTGGTCATCTGCGACGGGGCGGTGCTGGCGGTGAGGAGGGGCCTTGGGACACGGAGGAGGAGGAGGAGACCCCCCCTCTGGGCCAGGGCTCCTGGGAAGCAGAGCTCTTTATATTGGGGGGGGGGAGGCAGGCTCTTTAGGGAAGTTTGTAATGTTTAATCCTCTATTGTGCTTTTAATATTCGAGTAGGAGCCGCCCAGCCAGATGGGCGGGGTATGAATAATAAATTATTACTATTATTATTATTATTATTATTATTATTATTATTATTATTCTCAGCCTAGCCGACCTCGCAGGGCTGTTGTCAGGGGAGAGTTAAATGCGGGCGGCAAAGCACATGGGCCGCCTCAGGATCCCCTTGCAGGGAGAAGAGGCGGGTGGCAGGGATGCCCCGAGATGCCTGCTGACAAAGGACTCTTCTTCTTTTTCTCCCTGCCCTGCCAGTCTTCGGGCGACCTGGAGAACGACGAGCGGACGGCTGGGGTGATCTCGGAGCTGGTGAACACAGCCTGCGCTTTCCGCCTGCCCCGCTGCCCCGAGGTGCCCTTCAGGCGTATCTCTGGTGAGAAGGGGGCAGACCCCCACCCCCAGCACTCGCAGGCGGGCTTCCTCCGTGGGGCCTCCCTGGATACACAGGGGAGCAGGGCTGCATCCCACCCTTTTGGTGGGGAAGGTCGGGGAGCCTCAGGGGAGCCTGGATTCCTCTTGGCCCCTCTTGGCGTCTGCTCTTCTCCCTCCCCCGTGTAGAGCTGAACTCAGAGCTTCCCTGACGCGTCCTGTTCTTGCCTCCTTTCACCAAACCCTAAAGGAGAGCCAGGCAGGTGGTGGGGAGAGCTAGGATGGTGGGGAAGGCTCAGCACCCCTCCCTTGAGCCATGGCACCGGCCTTGCATGCAGAAGGTCCTATGGGGGCTCCCCAATGGCAACTCCAGGTATGTCTGTGGAGGAGCCTAGAGTGGAATCACTGCCAGTCAGTGAAGACAGCACTGGGTTCAATGGACTGAATGGTCTTCCTTGGGAGAAGCACCTTCCTGTCACGGAGCCTGACCTACCTCAGAGGGATGTGAGGAGGAAATGGGGTGACCGCCCCATCAGTGAAGGAGTGGGGAGCAAGTGAGGTTGTTCTGCAGTGTGCTCTGTGTGGGGCTTCCTTGATACTGCTGTCGGTGCAGGATGCTACAGCGCAATTGCTGACAGGAGTGAGGCCTTGTCAGCATATAACACTTGTACTCAGAGACCTGCACTGGCTGCCCATTTCCTACCAGGCCAAGTTTAAAGTGGCACAATTAGAATGTAAAGCCCTTAACAACTTGGGACCGGTTTACCTGGGAGATCGCCTGAGCCCGCATGTGCCAACCTGACCACTTAGGCTGGCTACAGGTGCCACATAATACGTGCACTGCAGTTGTACGAACTTGATCACTTAATGTGGCAGCACCTAAACTCTGGAGCTCCCTGCCTATGGATGCTTGGCAGATGCCTTCAGTTGCACTCTTCTCGATGCCTGCTAAAAAACATGCAAAACAAACCCGCCCTGGCGTTCACAGAATTGATGCCATTTTAAATCAGTTTTTAGTCTATATTAACTTTTTGAAAGTTTAAAATTGCTGCTGTTAATCTTCCTCAGTGATAATATTATATACTGCTTTGAGGTTTTATTATAACCAGACTGTGTATAAATATATGAAAAAGTACATAAATGCACCAAGCACCCTGCTGGGGGTCTCGTCTCTCCTAACACCCTTACTGGGGTCTCTCTCTCTTTCGTCCCCCCAGTGGTGTTTGGGGAGCACTCCTTCCTTGTGACCATATCTGGTCAGAAGCTGTTTGTGGTGAAGAGGCAGAACAGCGTCCGGGAGCCTGTGATCGTCTGAACTTGACCTGCCCGCTTCTTCTGTAACTGACTTTGGGAGTGGGGGACTCAAGGAGAGTTGGAGTGCAGGAACAAAGCACCTTCTTTTTTGTATGCGTGTGGGGCTCATCCCTGTGTTGATACTGGGTCACAAGAGGGCTGGCGGCTCCTTGGATGCGCTGTACGTTCTGCTTAAAGGCTTCGTGCCGCTGGGGGTTTGCTCCATATAGCTGTGGGTGTGATGGCGGTATGTGAAATAAAGTTCTTTGAAAAGAGACAACTAACCTGGTGGACTAGCTGTTTAGTAGAATCGTGGAATTTTAGGGTTGGAATGGACCCCGGGGTCATCTAGCCCAGAACCCCTGACAGGTAGCCACCCAACCTCTCTCAAAATCTCCAATGAAGGAGAGTTCATCACCTTCTGCAGCCATACGACCACAGTGTTGGAAGGGACCTTAAGTGACATCTAGTCCAGCCCCATGCAGTGCAGGAATCAAGCAAAGAATCGGTGGCAAATGGCCATCCAGCCTCTGCTTAAAAACCTCCAAGCGAAGGTGTTTCTTGGAGGTTCTCAGTTTCTCATATGGCAGCAGAAGGGCCTGAGAGCGAAGGCAACCTGGGGGTCGGGAAATGGCACCCCCCCCAAAAGGTCTGGATGCATCTGGGTAGCCTGGCTCGTTAGGTGATCAGCACAGCACCCATATAATAGTCTTGCTACCCCCTTGGCCTGACTAGCCTCTTTTTAGCAATGGCCCCACATAAGTAAGATTAAATAAAGGTTTTGCTGCCACGGAAATAAGCTCAATACCACACCCAAGGAATGCAGAGAGAGAAATCACAAACAACACAACTCTGTATATGGCATTAAAAAAATAATAATACACAACATTTCAACACCTTCTAATACATAGAATCTTAAATAATATCTATCATGCCAAAATAATAACCACATAACAATATCTCAAAGCCAAACAGTTCAAATATTCCTGAAAGAAGTCCATGAGAATGACTCTGTAGACTTGTGCTGGTGCAGTCCCAATGGAACTCCCAACGATGAGATACCCGGATTTCAATCTCTTTTTGTGAATCTTCTGGTTGGCCTGTAAAGGAACTATATAATGGCGATTCAGTGCTCCACCAAATAAATCAGCTCCAAACTTAGAATGACACTTTGTTCTTTTTGAAAAGGCTATACACCTTGACATATACAGAGCCAAAGCCATTTAGGGCTTTAAAGATCAGCACCAACACTTGGAATTGTGCTTGGAAACTTACTGGGAGCCAGTGTAGGTATTTCAGGACCGGTGTTATATGGTCCCGGCAGCCGCTCCCAGCCACCAGTCTGGCAGCCACATTCTGGATTAGTTGTAGTTTCTGAGTCACCTTAAAAGGTAGCCTGATTCAGAGCTCATTGCAGTAATGTTTATGGTCCCAATATGGTCTCTCCATAAATGTTTTCCAATTATTTTGGACACCTGAATGATTGTAATTATGATGAGTTAATAATAGCAGGGGACTTTTAATTAAATATTATCCTATCCTAACCTAGATAGAAATACACCAACAAAGAAAAAGAATTAGTGAGGTTGGACAATAGGGAAACATGAATTGAGTTTAATAGATCCTTGGCTCTTGATTTATCCTACTGTGGTATTACTTTACCTCTATGCCACTGGCCCTTGCCCAGGTGAGGAAGCAAACCTTTAAATAACAGCGAAACCAAGAGAGCAAACAAAAATGTCCTGTTGGGACTTGGTTTATTAAAACTATTGGGACAATAGGGCAGTTTTGCCAGCTAGAAAAGACTGTCCGCAAAGGAACATGTGAACAAAGGTTTTATAGGGTTTTATACAAATATCTGCTATACATCACAAAACAACACTGCATACATCAAAAGATGTCACAGGTAAAGGAGTGTAAAAGTTCTGGCTGGACTCTGTTTTCAGCTCCCCTCATTTATCTTGGGGAACCCCAACCCTTAGGTTTCAGCTTTTGCACTTGGCCTCCAGTTGCCTTCAGTAAGGGGCAAATCGTCCTTCCATGTCCCTGGAACACTTGCTTAGCACTCCAGTTCTAATGCAAATACCTCCCTCCTTGGCTGGGCATTTGTGCCTTTCTAGTAATGCAAATACACCTCCCACAATCCAGGGTCAGATCAGCATGGAATGCAGTGTAGACGTGTGGCATGAGAGATTTGCAAAATGTAGGAATGTAAGAATCAAATCACTCATAGATACACTGATACGTAATCCCATAAACACATGAAACAGCTAAAGCAAAATCTATATAATATGAAAAATTATTTAACTCTGCTAACAGAGAATATTCATTTTTCTCACATGTGCACAAGAATTTGTTTAGGTTTGATTGTGTTGGACTGTGAGATTGGCCCTCTCATTGAACTTCTTTCCACATTCTCAGCACTGTTGTGGCTTCTCCCATGGATGAATTCTTAGATTGGAAGTGAGATGGGGGCTCAGACTGAAGCTTTCTCTACATTCCAACTAGTGATATGGTTTCTGCCCTGTACTAATTTTTTGATGGAAAGTGAGATCATCTTGGAATTGAAGCTGTTTCCATGTTCTAAGGATTTAAAATGGTTCCTCCCTACTATGAGTCCTCTCATGTGAAGTGAGACTTCTCTTACGACTGAAGCTGTCTCCGCATTCCAAGCACTGATATAGTTTCTCCCCTGTATGAATTCTTTGATGCGAAGTGAGATTGGCCCTGTCACTAAAGCGCCTTCCACATTCCAAGCAAGGATATGGTTTCTCCCCTGTATGGATTCTTTGATGGGAAAGGAGATGGTGGCTGTGACTGAAGGTTTTTCCACATTCCAAGCACTGATACGGTTTCTCCCCTGTATGGATCCTTTGATGTGAGGCGAGATTGTTGCTCTGACTGAAGCTCTTTCCGCACTGCAAGCACTGATATGGCTTCTCCCCCGTGTGAATTCTTTGATGCGAAGTGAGATTTGCCCTGTCACTAAAGCTCTTTCCACATTTGGAACAGGGATACGGTTTCTCCCCTGTATGAATTCTTTGATGGGAAGTGAGATGGGCACTTTGACGGAAGCTCTTTCCACATTCCAAGCAATAAAATAGTTCCTCCTTTGTATGAATTTTTTGAGGGGCTGTGCGATTGGACATCAATGTGAAGTTTCGTCCCCATTCTAAGCACTGATGTGGTTTCCCTTCTGTATGAATTCTCTGATGGGAAGTGAGATGGGCACTCTGACTGAAGCTCTTTCCACATTCCAAACACTTATAGGGTTTCCCCTCTATATGAATTATTTGATGGGAAGTGAGATGAGCCCTTTTACTGAAGGTCTTCCCACATTCTGAGCACTGATATGGTTTCTCCCCTGTATGAATTCTTTGATGGGATGTGAGATGGGCACTCTGAGTGAAGCTCTTTCCACATTCTATGCACTGATACGGTTTCTCCCTGATATGAATTTTTTGATGGGCTGTGAGATTTGACTTCACACTAAAGCTCTTTCCACATTCTGAGCACTGATGTGGTTTCTCCCCTGTATGAATTCTTTCGTGGGAAGTGAGATGGGCACTCTGAGTGAAGCTCTTTCCACATTCCATGCACTGATATGGTTTCTCCCCTCTATGAATTCTTTGATGGGAAGTCAGACTATCCTTCCGACTAAAGTTCTTTCTACATTCCAAGCACTGATAGGGTTTCCTCCCAAAGGGATTTATTTGATGGGAAATGGAAATAAAGTGCTGACTGAAGCTCTCTCCATGCTCCAAATCTTTATATGGCCTCTGCACTGTGTGGTTTTTATCATGGTCCCTCTTGTTCTTAATTTCCATTTCATCACTACCTGCAACAAAAATAGAAACAGAATAGAGCCTTAGGTTTTGGTCTATCCAGTTCTTAATTTCCAATTCACCACCTGGAACGAATAGAGAAATGGATTGCAGCCAGATTACAGGAAGAAATGGAGCTCAAATTATCGAACAATGCTAATTAACACTTGTGATACATACAGGAAGAACTGAAGGGAATTAGGAAGTCTCACTACAGGGATCACCACATTTGTTGAAAGGCATTAGCTAACATATTTATGGGAACCTGAGGTTTGAAAAGCCTGGCTCTTTTCCGGAGTGGACTTTGCTTGGTCCAGTCATGGATTCTACACCAATTTCCAATGTCAGTCATCTCTTTAGTCAACTGAAGTTGGACAGAAGCAAAATAATAATAATAATAATAATAATAATAATAATAATAATAAAAAAACCTGACAGAAACTACCACCACTTTCCTAACCAGCCCAGCCCAGTCATTTTAATCTTACTATCTTCTATAATGTTTAAAAAAGCAAAACTGGAGGGGGGGGGAGTTTCCAAATCGCCACTGCTGGGGGTTGCGCTCTTGAGCTCCATCAGAATATTGTAGGCTCATCACATAGAGTTATGAATTGAATTTCAAAACAGATAATATGATCTGACAGGGAGCCTTACCAAGAGAGGCCACAATCCCACGATTCTCCTCCATGACGTCTTTATGCAGAGCTCTCTGGTCAGGATCCAGCAAGGCCCACTCCTCGTCTGTGAAATGGACAGTGACATCTTCAAAGCAGACTGGACCCTAAAATAAAAGAGAAACGTCCTCTTCTTAGACAGCACGGCTGTGTTGTTTTAAGGGGGTTGTTTGGCTTCTTCTTCTAACCACTTAATGGAATTATTTTATTGTGTACTTTAATGATGAGTATTTTAACGATTAGATTAGGGACGTGGGTGGCGCTGTGGGTTAAGCCACAGAACCTAGGACTTGCCGATCGGAAGGTCAGCGGTTTGAATCCCCGTGACGGGGTGAGCTCCTGTTGCCCGGTCCCTGCTCCTGCCAACCTAGCAGTTCGAAAGCACATCAAAGTGCAAGCAGATCAATAGGTACCGCTCTGGCGGGAAAGGTAAACGGTGTTTCTGTGCACTGCTCTGGTTCGCCAGAAGCGGCTTAGTCTTGCTGGCCACATGACCCGGAAGCTGTACATCGGCTCCCTTGGCCAATAAAGCGAGATGAGCGTCGCAACCCCAGAGTTGTTCGCTACTGGACTTAACTGACAGGGGTACCTTTACCTATTTTAACAATGGGTAGTACTTTTGATGTAAATGGGTGGAACTCTGCATTGTGTTCTTCAACTCATGCTGTCTCTGTATGTGTTCATTTGCCAGATGGAAGGACCTCCCCTCTCCTCTCCCTGTGCACTGTTCAGCGTTCAGGGGACCCTCCTGCTGCTCTATTGCCAACCTCAAAGGGGGCATCGGAAGGAAACCCCATTGTGCACCTGCTGGGGCTGTTTAGGTGAATACTGGTCAATGTTTGGGATACTTTGTCAACTGCTTACAAGCCTAATTTAGTATTTAACAATCAATATAGAAATTAAACTGCAACTACTGATAAATAGGGACGCAGGTGGCGCTGTGGGTTAAACCACAGAGCCTAGGACTTGCCGATCAGAAGTTCAGCGGTTCGAATCCCTGCGATGGGGTGAGCTCCCGTTGCTCGATCCCTGCTCCTGCCAACCTAGAAGTTCGAAAGCACATCAAAGTGCAAGTAGATAAATAGGTACCGGTCTGGCGGGAAGGTCAACGGCGTTTCTGTGCGCTGCTCTGGTTTGCCAGCGGCTTAGTCATGCTGGCCACATGACCCAAAAGCTGTACGCCGGCTCCCTCGGCCAGTAAAGCAAGATGAGCGCCACAACCCCAGAGTCGGCCACGACTGGACCTAATGGTCAGGGGTCCCTTTACCTTTACTGATAAATAATGCTAGCAACATTCAGAAGCCTAGTTAAGTGGAGGTGGCTGTTCATTACTCTCAGGGAGATTCACTCAGCCCCAGAGGCATCCTGGCTGCCCCACCCCTCAGCCTCTTTCCCCACAATGCTCCTTCCTGCTACCTGATCTGGTTCCATAGCTGCTGCTTCCCTTCCACCACCATTAAAAGATGGATGAGGAGGTCTTTCCACCACCGTTCTGACACCTGCAAGAGACAAAGGTAAACAAGAAGCCATGAGTGCATGCTTCTGTCAGAGGTGAAGCTATGCAGCTCTAACTGCAGATGGTGCATGCATTTGGACATTTGGACACATTTCATATTTTAGCTATGTAAAAATACACCCCCCCTCCTTTGGGCTCTTGGCCCCAAGTGTCTCTCCAAAAAGATGGAGAAAAAACACACATTAGTTACAAAATACACACAATGTTATCAAAGAGATGGAAAAACTAATTTATTCTTACTCAGTGGCCTCTCTTCAGTCATCAATGGAATCCTCTCCGCCTCAAAGTGATTGGCGCTCATTTCTGCAAATGGATAGTTTCCCTGAAATAGCAACAAAGATTAAAACAGGAAATGGGAAGAATGCCTAGAAGTGGAATGGCAGAGGCAAAACCTTTTGGGGCATCAGAGATAATTCCTTGGAAGCTTAAAAAAAATATAGAGAGAGATATTTTGGATACTCTCCCTCCTGTTTGGAGCCCCTTGGGAGTATCCAGAGGCAAGTCTCTCTCACCTGCTGCTCTGCCTGCTTCCTCTCCTCTGCCTGACTCAGGAGGAATCCTTCGGCCAGGGCCACCGCCTGGGAACTGGTCTCCGCTCCACATTCCCACACCCAGCTCTCCATCTCTGCTGGAAGGACAGCCAGGAACTGCTCCAAGATCACTAGGTCCAGCATCTCAGCTTTTGTGTGCCTTTCTGGCTTCAGCCACTGATGGCAAAGGTGGTGGAGTCGGCTGCAAACCTCTCGGGTCCTTCGGTCTCCTGGTGGCACAACTGCCTGAACTGCTGGCTCTGCACATCTGAGCGGAGGGTGTCCTCCTCACCCAGGATCTTCTGCACAGAGCTTTCCCAGAATCCCTCACTGCTCCCAGTGTTGATGACATGGCCCCTTCCTGCTTCAGGGCCAGCTGAGTCTTGCTCATCCATCTGGGCTCTCAAGAAGCCTCCAAGAGATCAGAAGGAATCCTTTGGTCTTCTGCCAAGTTCTGTCTGTCCAAATCAGAAGTGATACCAAATTCTACAAAGCAAAGAAAGAGGTTCCCTGAGCAAGTGCAGATGAGTCTTGCTTGGAACCTGGGTAAAAAATTCCACCACAGCCCAGACACTATGCTCCCCCCTTTTTTTTTGGAAAGGAAGAAGGAGCAGAAACCAAATTTTTTAGTATAATCAGCCATGGCAAAATCCAAAATCCAACCACTAGAATGCCTATATTACCCAAATCCACTTGAAAAAACACGTAAACATAATAGGTGAAAAAGGGGAATATCCAGGAATTGCATTTTGTACATACTGGGCTTGGTGGTTAACTGAGTAAGCTACATTTTAATATTCACGATGTTGTCTTTGATGTTATGAGAAGCTGTATCTTAATTTTGAGAGTTTCTAGTAAATAACTTTACAATTGTTATTACACAGCCTATTACGTTTATGTTGGGTTTTTGTGTGTGTTTTCAGTCAACAAATCAAGTCAGGCCCATGACTGAGTATAATTTGCACACCAGGCCAGAGTGGGGGTCCTAACCCTGGGGTCCTCTAGGGCTGCTCTCTCTCCCTCCCCACTTCAGTCCACATTTCTTTCCTGCTTCATTTTCTAGCACTGGGAATCTCCAATGTATTCAAGACAAACTACAGGGGTGGGGCGCCCTTTTCTTTGTTCTTAGGGCCAGATCCAACCCCCGAGGGCCAAGTGGGTGATGTCAAAGATTAGCCCTGAAAGTGAGTAAAGTAGGACTCACCTCCTTTCTGCAAGTTGTTTTAACCTGCTTTTGGTACTGTGTTTTAATGTGGTTTTCTGCCCTGGGAATCTAGGGTGAAGGGCAGGTAATTAATGATGACGATGTTAACATGACTTAACCCCCACACAGCCAGATATGCTTGGGGTTCCTCTGGGGTCCACCATGGTCACTTGAGGCTCAGGTGGCCTCAGTGGACTAGGAGTGACCAGTTCCAGATCCGGCCAGCTGATCAGCCACAGTAGGACAGAGATGCCAGGCTCAGATGGGGATTATGCAGTGCCCTGTAAGTGGGCATTTCCTTCACAAAAAAAGACAGAGAGTTTGCCCTTCGCCTTCTTCCCCATTGCAGCCCCACTGGGGGGTCCCCCATGCATAAGCTGAACAGCCCCCTCCCATGCACCCTCCCCTGCAGCCCTGGACCCCCTTCTCCCAGTGCACCCTAAGTGGGGAGAGAGAGGAGACTCAACCAGGTCCCAGGAGGCGCCACCCAGGCAGAAGGGGCTGTCAAAATATGCCCCCCTTCCCTCGCAGGAGGCACTGGGGAGGGAGGGCTTTTGCACTGGAGGACTTCTCCCTCTGTCATCTTCCTCCTCTCTCTAGGAATCCAGCCCCGTTCCTTTAACCCTTGGCAAGCGAGCACCCCGAGCTCACTCCTCTTCTCTCGTCTCTCTGCAAAGCAAGACTCTAGCAGCGCATTGCGCACACTCCATAAACCTCTCTGGGCGGGTGCAAAGGGCGGGGCTCTCCCCATTCATCATTTCGAGATGGGGGGCTGAGATCGGGGCGCTCCGCTTTGCAAGGGTCGCAGGGAACTGAGCTGGATTCCTAGAGAGAAGAGGAAAGGAAGGA